GTGGCTGCTACCGCAGGGACCAGGACCCTATGCTTGTCCCGACCCCCCAGCATGGGGACAAGACACCAGGAGTGAGGAAAGCATCCAGAGATGCTCCACCAAAGGTGCTGCCTGTCCCATTTATTTGGGGTCGCCCCTGTGCCTGTCCAGTGTCCCCCTGAGCTCACCCAGCCCATGCTGTGGGGGGGGGAAAACCAGGGCTTTGACCAGCACAAAGGACTTTCAGCAGCCCCAAGAAGGCCAGGTCCCATAGGCCTTCAACAGCCCTTCTCTAGCGTCCTGGCCGAAACTTTCACTCATAATTTCTTCTTCTGTCCATCCTTCCCCTGACAATGCCAGCAAAGGCATTGATTAGTTTCTGCTGCAAGTTCTGGAGGAAAAGCCCATCTTTATCCTGTCTCTTTTGGATATCTGCAGCTCCCAAAGCTAGGCTTTACCTCTTTAAAAATTTCTGGAATCACTTATCTGCCCAAAAACCCCATCACCTCCATGGGGACAAACCTCTGACCAGAACGACCCTGCTCAGCATGGACAGGATGCAGCCCTTGTTCATCCCAACAAGTACCAAACAAGAAAACAGAGCCCAGAAAAGAGACGTGAGAATAAATATCCAGAAGGCATTGGTGCTGACACCGAGATGGAGAGCTGCTTGTGAGTGCCAAGAGCCAGCTGTAAATCCTACCGCAGACAGCTGGCTGCGCACCAGCCACAACACAAGACAGCAGCCATGACTCGGCAGGGTGACAACAGTGTCTCCCTCTGCCCATTGGGCTGGGATCTGGGAAGAACATGGTATCCACCTGCCCTCCCAGCCCTCAGCTCCATCCCAGGAGGGAAGTGTGGGGAGGCAGATGGTGCACACAGGAGCTGGTTCCCTGTGCAAGTGCTGTCTAGGAGATGGCTCTCCCCATGACAGCAGGCTTCTCCTCCCAGCACCCACCATGCAACAGCCTGGCAGGACCCCAGAGCAGGGGAAGAGCATACAGTTCTTCAGGCAGAGAGAAAAAAGCACCCCCATGGGCACCAGGACAGGCTCATGGGGAGGGCAGCTCCTACAGAGATACGGCCCCGTGCCATATGCAGGGACAGCGAGGACGAAGGTGTTTGCAAACCAAACAGAGCAGTTGGGTGAAGGTGCCCCTGCTCTCTGGCTGCTGTACACGAGACTCAAGGGTCTGGTACTTACCTGCTCCCGGTACCCCCAAGAAGCAGCCAAACCATCACAGGCAGCAGACCCCCTCCCCAGCCTCCCATCAGTACCTGTGCCCAAGGCACAGTGCCTCTTCTGACAACCTGCAGCTCCTGAGGAGCTGCCTCCTCTCAAGCCTGCATGAAAAATGGGACCTGTAAGAGCTTACGGAAGAAGGCACGATACCAAAAATCACAGTGGCACTTACAAATCAATTTTTAATAACTCCCTCCAAAGTTTAGCTCAAACTCAATTTTTCTCCTCCAGAATTTGGTCATTATTTTGTAAAATATTTGTCTCCCTGCAGTGGCTGCCTAATTTAAAGGCAACAATCTGATTTCTCCCCACACTCCCCAAGCCTCAAAAACAGCTCTTCCAATAATAGACTGGGTTATGAATTAGATATAATACACTCAACTGTTCAGATCAGATACGGGAAAGTTTGGGCCATCAGCCACGTCCTGAGACTGCACATTAGAGTTAAAAGACTTTCCGTTCACTTCAAGCTGGCCTCAAAACACAAGTAGTAGCATGGTGTTTAACAAAACAGGCAAATCTGCAGCAGAATCTGTGAGCAGGAGTTTGCTGACACCAGCAGCAGAGAGAGCACCACACCACACACAGGGGGATCTCTGCAGCCCTTGCTCACACCCACGGGCTCTCAGCCTTGCTTGTTTTCCTTACTGGCAGCCCCACGTAAGTGGCAGCGGGCTGCTCACTACAGGCGGGTCCCTGCCGCATGGTCCAAGGCTGAGCGGCACCACAGCTTCCCTCTGCACAGGCAGGAAGAGCCCAAGGGCAAGCAACAGCCCCGCTGCAGCCAGCATGCCACCAAACAGGGACAGGGACCCCCGTAACTGCCCCACTCTCCCCTCGGTGAAGGACAAACACTGCACACTCGGACAGGCAGGGCTCTGCAGTTTATTGAGCTCTAGGTTTGTATGTACATCCATTTGCAGTGCTTGGTTCAGTGACAGCGTGACAAGAGGATGTGTCACAGTCTCCCCCAGCTCAGGCTGGGATGAGGGATGAGCTCAGGAGCTGCTCCCAGTCACACACTGGGCTTCTCCGTTCATCCCAGCAAAGGAGCACCCCTGGGGGGGACATGACCTTTGACAGCTGAGCCCAGCGTGAAAAGCCGAAAATCCCAGAGGTTGCTGAGGCAGAGGCAGACTCATCCCCAACCCTATCACTTATCTGCCTAGTCTCAGCCTAAGTGGGATCAGAAAAAAGGAGGCATGTGGACAGCTGGGTGACTCAATGCTCCGACAGCAGCAATGATGGGGCCACACCACAAGGAAGCAACTCAAGCCCCATTTAGAGGAAACTCCCCCTCAGAGGCAAGATCGTCTAGCAAGAGCTCCTCACGCATACAGACAACAGTGCCATGTGATTTTTACTCATTTGCCACTGGAGAAGCTGCCTCCTTCTACATGTCCTGGCCTGTTCTCAAGCAGAGTGATTTTCTTGACCCCACTTGCTTTCCCAAGCACCGTCCCTCTGACACGTACACAATTCCACACACTTGCATGGCAGGAAAGCAAGTAAGTGTCTGACATAACTGATAAAAGCTAGACAATCCCGTGCTGAGGCAAAGTATCCTCTGTTGGGAGAAGCCCGTGCTTCCAGAAAAAGGACACAGCTTTCAGTTTCCCATGCTCATGGCAGGTAAAGATGAAACATTAACGCAATTAACAGGTTAGCATGAACAAGCCTTGTCTAAAAATGGTAGTAAATGAGCATGACGTTCACATCACTCACGCTACTCTAACCTACAAGAGGCTAAGAGCAGGACTAGGCACTTTATTTTTTTTTTTAATTTCAAAAAACAGTGTTCTAGGGAGGAAAAAAAGGGAAAAAGAAAAGTGGATCTGGGATGTACATAACTTCTCTGCTTCAGACCACCAAGTCAGGACAGATCCTGATATCACTTCTGGGAGCTGAAAATGCATGAGCAGGGAGCGGGTGTGTATGCTGCATATTCCTGAGTTGGTAGCCAGAAACAGCACTCAGAACAGGTTCTGCTGGACCTGGGCACCTCTGAAACACTGTCTCTGGAGCAGAAAGCTCTGTCTGTGCCCCAGAATACCATCCTGGAGCTCTTCCTTAGGAAGTTCTCAACAGACTGTTGCTGGAAGTGGCTTGGTGAAGATAGGAGGACAAGCTAGAAAGTGAAGTAACTACTTCTCCAGCTGCATTTTAACTGCGTGCTACACACAAGGGAAAAACTGTGGACTTCTTGGCTCCTGAAGATCACTGACCACTTGCAAGTATGTGCAAGGCAGACGTTCCTGTGAGGAAGAGTAGGATTGTCGCAGTGCAGTCTCTAATGGGCAATAAGGGTAGTGGGGGGAAGGAGTCTGCTCCGTGAAAGTGGAATATCTAAAAATGCTTCTCAACCTTAGAAACAGGAGAGATGAGCTGGGCTGCTGGAAGCAACAGTGACCCCAAGCAGAGCTGGTTTCCAGTTCTCTATTTGATGACCCATATTCTTGCATACTGGCTCAGACTGGAGCCTGTAAGCCAACAGCCTTGGAGGCAACACTTCTCCTTCTCCAGTAATCTGATGGCTTGGTTCAAGGAACACCTTCTAACATCAGGACCCAGCACTGAGCAGGGCCAGCTCCTTGGGGAAACTGTTTTATACCCCCAAAGCCATTCTCAACTCGATGGCAGTGGATTTGACCTACATTGAGGGAGGGTGGTTGATCCAGGCTGATGGAAAAGAACAGCCCTCACCCAGAGAGCCGACGAGTAATCTCAATCCAGAACTGTCTCACACAGCTGGACTGGTTTTATTATTTTGGTTGTGAGCTCTCCACAGCTCTGCTACAAAGGTTTCCAGTGCATCTTCCCTGAGGCTGCAGAGAGAATTTCCCATTGCTACATCACAGGAACGGCTGCCCACCCCCGGGGCACCTTACAAAATTGCTTCCTCCTCCTCCTCAACATGCTGATCACCTCTCCTCAGCCCCAGTCCTGTTGAAATACATGCCTCTGGGATCAAACACACAGCAGCAAGGCTCTCTCCTAGAAGAAATGCAGTCCCTTCTGCAGGTGGCAGTCAAAGTGTGACCGGCTGCAGATCTGTAGTGTCCCTGCCCTGACAGGCCCGTCTCTGGTCAGCCCTGCGCAGCGGCTGCGTCCCAGCTTCAAGAGATCGTGGAGAATTCCTTCAGCAGCAGTTCCTGGCTCAGTGTGTTGAAAGCAAGGTTCTTCCTCACGTTGATGCTGATGGAGCGAACCTGACAGAGACAAAACAAGATGCTTTAGCCAAGGGACTCTTCCTGGCTCCTCATGAGCATGGCAGCTTTGACAACGCTAAACCCCAGGTT